GCCCATTGTAGAACTAAAAGTCCTTAGGAAGAATTCTCCTCCAATCGATCACCCTAGTCTCTTGTCGAAACTCTCAAAACAAAACAAATGAGATCCCAGCAGGGACCCCCCTATTTATAACCTTGGGCATAGAAAATCGACGGATGAGGCGATCTGGCATTAGATCAGAGGTCGAGAAGGTCACATTGCTTGTGGGCGAATTTGAATTTTAAATTTTACACGCTCAACTTGCACGCCCAACTTGGAATTTGAAATTTGAATCTTGTTGCGCGCTAGCCCGACCTTGAGCCGAGTTGGGCGAATAGGCCGGGTGATATGCGAACCGGGCGAACAAGTCACCACAGGTCAAAGATTGACATTAGGTCGGCATGAGAAGCGACCCCTCCTTAAGTGGGTCATCTTCAACTTCCCTGAGATCACGATGCCACATTGGAAGAGCCGATTATCACCCTGTCTGCTTCGGGCATGACTGGATAAGCACTACTCGCTTACGCGCCAAGCGTGAAACCACCTCCGAACCAGACGATTCGGAGATCTCGGATGCACTTCATAAGCCTCAGGGTAGCTTGGGTAAAGCAAGCTAGACACTTTGATCTCTCTCTTGTAGGTCGACTAGGCGACCTACTCAATCCGATGTCCTCGCTGTCCGCTAACAGAGAGCACCATATCATGCATCATCAATAAATGAAATAATAATTCTACCAATTTTATATTTATATAAAAAATTGATTTTCTGCTCTCAATGAATTTATACAAATAAAAATATTAATAATAGAATAATTATTTTAGTGCTTAAAATTCATACATTTTTATAAATAATAAATATATTATTTAGTGTAAATTTAAATATCAATTAATAATTTATAAATAAATAAATAAGTATATATATATATATATTATATAGAATACCACCCAAGAAGAAAGGACAAATAGCTTTTGAACTTTGGGATAATAGAAAACCTAGTCTGAATTACCTAAAAGTTTGGGGCTGCTTAGAAAATGTTGGAATACCTGAACCTAATAGAAAGAAATTAGGACTGAAAACCTGTGACTGTGTGTTCATTAGATATGCACAAAATAGTGCGACCCGAGATGCAGAGTTCTTTGAACACATATTTCCTTGGAGAAAAGAAACAATAAATAGGAAACCCTCTCAAATTCAAACTAGAAACCAAGAATTAAGTGCTCAAAGAATCAGTACTTCCCTTAATCAATGCAACATTGATTATCAGGAAGCCGTAGCCTCACTTGATGCAGTATTTTGGAAAGAATTCATAAAGAGTGAAATAGACTCCTTAGTTTTAGGAGGGAGATCTACAAGTTCCCAAGTGTGATTAGTGACTAAGGCATTGGATTGTAAATGGATTTTTAAGAAAAAATCAAACCAAATGGTACAATAGATAAATTCAATGCCAGATTAGTTGCTAAAGGGTTTAGACAAAAGAAAGATATTGACTTCTTTGACACCTACTCCCCAGTTTCAAGGTTAATTACAATTTGAATCTTGTTTTCTATAACATCCATCTACAAACTAATAGTTCATCAAATAGATGTAAAAACTTGTATGGATTAAAACAAGCTCTCAAACAATGGCATGAAAAATTTGATAATGTGTTAGTAATTCATGTATATAACAAAAATGATTTTGATAGATGCATCTATAGCAAATTTGAAAATGACAGGAGCCATGATCTATTTATATTTTGACGATATGCTAATAATGGGAACAAGTTTAGAGGTAATAAAAGAAAAAACAATTTCTAATGTTCAAATTTGATAGTAAAGACTTGGATGATGCTAATGTAACCTTGGGGATTAAAATCCATAAATAACAAGAAAACTTCATTCTCTCCCAATCTCATTATGTAAAGAGTATACTCATAATCCCGAAAATGAACATTGGGAAACTTTAGTAAGATTATTAAAATATTAAAATGAACTATAAATTTTGGTTTACACTACTCAGGTAAGTTCAACAATGGAGGGCGAGTTTATTGCACTAGAATTGGCGGGGTCTGAGGCAGAGTGTTTAAGGAACTTATTGGCAGATATACCACTAAACTTGGGGGTGCTTTTCACACGTGCACACCAAGTCGGGGCGAGGGCGAGGGCGCGGGCGTATGTGCGTGTGCACGATGTACCGAATCGAGTTTTGGTTTTTATTGGATTAATCGTTTGTTTTTTTTTTTTAATTCGAATTAACTTTTTGAATTCGCGGTTTTGCAACACCACACTCCTACAAGTTTTCAGTTTGGAAAACGATTACCAATAAGTGGGACTTAATAAAACTGTTGACCCACTTTTATTTCTTTACTAATAATAAAATGTATGTGCCCTTATTTAAATAAGAATACAAAAGAGAATATAAGAGACATATAAAAGGACCAAACTTCCTAGCCTCCTAGTAACTTTAACAGGTGCTGGTGTTTACGCCTGTCTGATCTTGCTGGAAGTACTGGGACATGTAAAAGGACCAAACTCCCCTGGGTTCGGCGGGTAATGGATGTTCTAGATTTTGGTTTTGCTTGAAATCTATAGGAAGGTGTTAAATCAGTGTATTTGTTCAGAGACTTGCACTTCCTATGAATTTAGTTGCAACTCTTTGTCAAAATCCTCCCTATGAATTTAGTTGGGAAACTCTAGCACCTACGGTAAGATTTGCCCATGATTTGGATACAGCATTGAGGTGGTGGTGGACAAGATTGTTGTGCCAAAGTATATAATTTTTATATACTTTGTCCTGTTAAATGGCCAATATACCAAAAGCTACTGTAGAAGCTTGTCAAAACTCACGTTGGCATTTTTACAGAAGAAAGAAAATGAAAAAAAAAAGAAAATAATATCACGTTGGCAGTTCCTAGTGGCAAGTGACCTTTTCCCTTGGTGGCTTTCACTTTTTTTTGGACTTTTATGTTTATTAATAATAAATCAATAAACCTAGATTATTATATAGTAATGGGTGATTTACACCATTAAGGCCATGTTTGGCAAAGTGCTTTCATAAAAGTACTTTTGTAAAAATGCTTTTATAAAAGTGCTTTTATAAAATTACTTTCATAAAAGTGTTTTTATCAAAGTAACAATATGAAAGGGTATAATTGGTATTCTAAAAATGTATTGGGGACAATTTTAGGAGAAAAAAAATTAAATAAGTACTTATTATATAAACACTTAAAAAACATTTATTTTTTAACACTCCCAAACATGACCTAAAAGGGAAAGGAAAGATGAAGGTTTATAACGTATTCTAAATTCTAAAAACCAAAAGGTAGTATTCATCTTCCCTCCACTCTATAGGAATGATAGAGAAAGGAGAAAAGTAGATCGCATCTGCATGTTCCATGCATCCCCAAGCAACGCGTAAGTTTTCCACACACCCAGCGCAGGCCCCCACTTTCTAACTTTCTACTTTCTAGCCGTTGCCCTGGTTCTGCTCTTTGACACCAATCCGACGGTTCACGGTCCTCGCTGCACCTGCCGGCATCTCACCGACTGCCTCACGAAGTTATTAATTGTCTCTCCTTAGTCCTCACAAATAATTTTGACAGAAAAGTCAATGAATCTGCCTAACCATCCATTATTCCACCATATTTGCGGCGTCCCCCCTTACACCCATCCGCTGGGATAAAAGCTTGCAGGCAATAAATTCGTCTTGTTTATGCGGGGTGAGAAGCTTACACTTTTTGACTTGCATGATTTTGATGCATGTGTACTTAGCTTAACATGCCACCTGGCATGTGTGTGTGTGGGTGGGGCCGTTGTGGTGCTGGATTCGACCGCAGTTTACCTAATTGTTGACTACAAACGGCACACTGCATACAGACTCTGTGGGCAAGACATCAGCCGTGTGATCTTCATCGAAAGGCCATCATTTGTGGGTCGGATTTTGATCGGATTGCAATTTGCAAAGCTATCATCGAAGTGGCAGCTCTCCCACTCCCAGTCTGAGAATGTTAGGTGGAATCGACTGAGTCGCGCCGTGTCACCGACACGGGACTTCTCGCTTTTCATTTATTTTCATGGCGGTAATTATAGTTTCAATCAAAGAAGCCACCAGCCCACCACTACCACACTGATACAACAACCAGAAAAAATGATATGGTATTTCGTAGATTCCGACGCTTTCCTTTGGAGTTGGAGTATATATCTCAGGGTGTAGAGTATTATTAAAGTAATAGAAAAGAAGTACTTTTCTCGATTGTGACTACGTTTGGTTTGGTTCGGTTATTTTTGGCACGTTATTGCTTTCCACTTGTCATCCCCTAATATGGTTCATTGTCAAAATCGACCAGTCTTACTCCTGCTTCACTCCCTCTCACTCGAGCGCGTGCGAGGCGTGCGGGCGGTGTATGGCTCACACTTCTGGTTTTTCAAGTCAAAAGACTCAAAACACAAAAGCAACAACGAAAAAAAGGTGATGGTTTTACTATTTACACTTGGATATTTTATCTACACATGACACGTTATCATTGGACGAGGGTAAAAGAGTATTTACAATCAATATTTGATTGGGATAACGTGTCATGTGCAAAAAAAACCTCCTAAACAGCCTAATTTGTCATCAAACAAGAAGAAGAAGAATCCGTATGGACGGTGATGCACGAGTTGTAATAGCAAATGGCATGTGCGACATAACCCTGCAACCACAAATCCGGTCGGTGGAACCGAGGGGGGAGCTTCGGTCGCAACCACGGAAATGTGACGCGGATCAGCGAGTCGGACCACTTTGGTAAATTAACACAACGAGAAGAATGCGACTGTACGTACTCTCCTTATTCCAATATTCTTTTCTTTTTCTTTCTTTTATTGTTTTTTTTTTAATTTCTGTTTTGTCAACAGTTCCACGACCAAACAAGGACTACCTTTTTGGAAGGTGAATTTGATTGGCTAACGGGCGCCGTTCTCAGTTCCCTTTTGTATGTATTTCCAAAAGTGAACTCTTTTCTGATTTTTCATCATCTATTCCATCATTCTATTCATTTCAACTTTATTAGGTTTTTTACAGTTGAAGGGGCAGCTGACGAATTGAACGAGTAGCAGCACCCGTGGCGCATGTTAGTCTCTGGAATGAGGAAATTAATCAGTTGTACTTCTACAAAAATAAAAGTGGCGCAGAGCACCACCTTGATCTCCATACTCCATGCTCCGTAGGTCGCAGCAAATTGAGAAGGAAGGGAAGGGGGGGAGGTCATCTTGTTGACTCAGACTCAATCATCTCCTGACTTATGTACAAAAGAATACAAATCGCGTGTGTACACGAATCTGTCCGCTGATCGCTATCTAACTGCGTGTGTTATTTTTCTGTTTTGTCCATTCAGAACTCTTTTTGCAGAATCTTTGAGAGGACAGTTGGAGCTTACGTAACCGTTGACTAATTGGAGATAGGTGTCCAAGTCGTGATACGTGGCGACGTTGGTAATCGGCCACGTTAGATAAGATGAGTCTCCGCTGCTGACTCGGAGCTCCCGACCCACATCGGCGTACACCCACTGTGTCTCCTCGACTCGCTTCTGGAGCCAGCTCGGAAAGCCTGCTGCCACACGGCTGCCTCCCTTCTTCTTCTTCAACGTATCGCCGTGATTATTATGGTTATGGTGGTGGTGGTGATGGTCGTCGATCACAAAACCAGGGACTTTGGTGATGAGGTCATGCGAATTAACGATGCGCAGTATCTTGCTTCCGCATTTCTCCACGTGGCACCTGAAGCTCCGGTTGCCTACACGTGGCGCCCCGAATGAGAACACCGTTACCAACGGAGCTTGATTGAAGGTCGTCGTTATATCGTAGGCCGTGAGTGTGGCCAGTGCTGCGCCGAGGCTGTGACCGGTGATGGTCAGGCTCAGCGGCTCATCACCGTAGCGTTGCAGAATTCGGCCGACTTCCTCCCTCACCTGGTCTCGTAAGCATCGACACGGTGCGGTTGCAGAGGTGTAGAGGCTCAGGAACCCCCTCTCCACCATTGGTCCACCAATGTCAGGGCCCACATTGGACGGGGCGTTGGGGAGACGAGTCAGCGTGGCACGTAGATTTTCCAGCCACTCCATGCATGTAGCGGTTCCCCGGTAAGCAATCACCACGTCGCGGCGCCCAAGCCGAGCAATCTCGTCTTGGTCCTGGCACACTGCCACGTAACCAATCCAGCTCGACTGGTTCCATACCCAACTGGGTGCATTTTCGATCCATCGTGGCAGTTGGATTCCCGAGGTGGCACTCAAATTCTTGGTGACACGGTACCCGGAATCCGGCATGCCGGACTTCTCCAACATAGAGTATCGAGAGAAGCGGCAGCTGGCGTAGGATGGAGACGAAGTGTCGAACTCGAAGGAACTGTAAGCGGCTTCGACAAACTTCCCGTACCTGAGTATCTCCCCTCGCAGATTATCGTCGAGCGGGTCAAGCAAGCCTTCCCAGTTCTTGATTCCCTGGTACTCCCTCCATCTCTTCCCCAGTCCAGCCGGTGCCGGTTGGGTTGGCGACGCAGTACAGCGGATCGCAAACGCGCATTTTGGAGTTGGGAAACTAGTGCAGGGCCGAACTGGGGCGATCCCGAGTTTCATTTTAAGGTCTTCCTGTGTTGCGGCACTCACAGAGGAAGACTCTTGGACTGGCTAGGCACCTTCTTCTCCCGTGTCGAAGATCTTCAGTACCGATATAACGTCTTTGTTTTTTCTCTTTTTCTTTATATAATCTTGTTCTCGCCTGAAGCTTGCAGGGGAGCTGGGAGGGAGTGGCTTTTATAAGTGCGAAAATGGAGAGAGAAAAAGAAGTGAAGAGAGAGAGAGAGAGAGAGGACGGTGTGGGATCAATAAGAACGGCTAGTGATTCGATGAGTAGGTGGATGGTACGAATACGATTGAGAGAGATTAACCGGAAAAACGGCTCGGGCCCACAGGGAGGAGAAGAGAGAAAGGGCGAAGGGACTACACATGGCACCTCACACTCACCACACTACACATCTCACTGTGTATTAAGGATATCTCTCGTATTTATATGTTATTATTTACGAGAAATATTTTCATTGCAAGGTGGAATATATCTGTAAAGTCGTTGTGAGGTGCCCTGTATGAAATCATCAGATCTTTTCTCGAAGAAGTTGGGCCGAGACGAATTCAAAAAGCCTATTTACGAATTAATGCCAAATTTACGAGTAGGATGCAACTTATATAATTAATAAACCAAGAAGAAGCTGTAATTTCAGATTTCTATGGGCAGTACAGTCTACTTATCTCTTAATTAAATAATAAAAAAATCATCCACGAGAGACAGGAGGATTTTGATTTTTTGAGTTATTGACTAAGGGAGTGTGTGAGGAAATCTTAATTTAATTTATTTCCATTTTTCGGCGATCGCTGCTTAGTGTCATAAGTTTGACCAAAGCCCAAATAAAACTGAAAATATATAAAATAGGCAAAAGAAACTTTCCGTCCGGGCATAAGGTGACACGTGCTTTCAGCTTTAGAGGGCTCGGCGTGGCTTGAGCCGTGGCTACTGGCTACATTTTTTCTTTTTTTATTTGGAAAATTTTACCTTTTAGAAATTATTCTTCTGATGATGCCGAAAAGGTTCATTAAAAAAACTGATAAACCAATCATATCGATTAAGGTACGATGCCTTCCGGTATATAATAGAAATTCCCCTTTTTTTTAATTTACCCGGTTTGGGGTAAGCCGGTATTTTTTGTTTTGTGAAGGTTGGACCGGTCGGTTGGCCGAATTATTTTGATATGATAGCGTAAATTCTATTAAAATTGGAGTAGTGTAGACTTTTAACGCAGCAGACGAACCACAACCATGATTCCTTGGCGAAGAATCAAGCTCACTGAGAGTTGGGTTTTCACTTTGAAGGCAAAAGTGAATCAAGAGAATGGTAGCAACTGGTCGGTGGGTGTTCCGCGAGTCTGACCTGAAACTCTGAAGGCAGATACTAGGTTGGTTGGGTCAAATTTGTGGGTGTTCAGTCCAGATTGTGCTGCAAATTATTGAACCAAAATCAGACGTAATCCCAGCACCATTTCTGTTTTCTTTCCTTCCCACATGAAGAGTACCGCTGAATTCAACTATGTAAATTTATGCAATTTATCATACGAAAAGGCAATTAGTTGCCAACCAAAATTAATAATTTAATTATTGAGAACAGTTGGATTTGTTGTTTTTTAAGAAAAAATAGTACATTAAATATCACATGATACATTAGTATAATGGGTTTAACTATGATACCAGAAAGATATGATATCCAAAAATTTTCTTACCAATCAATTGGTATCATAAACGTGGCAGCCAATCAGGTATTATTTATAAAAAATTCATGACTAGTTTTTGATTGGACAAAACTCTTCCCAGTACCATATCTTCTTTTCCACATAATACATTTTCCTTGGTAATAATTTATTCTTCTAATCAATTGGTGTTACATTTTTCAATAAGGCCCTGTTTGCTTTTCGGTAAGTTACTTACTTGGGTAAGTTTTTCTTGGGAAACACTTACCTGGGTAAGTGCATTTACCAATATTTTTTAATTTCTCATGTAAATAAGGTAATGATCATTTTATGCATAAAAATATATTATTAAAAGGGGCATTTTTGTCCCATTCAAGTATTGACAACTTCCCTCTAGGTGGGAAAGTTACCCACTTAGGAAGATAAACTTTTTCCGGTCTCCACATAAATCTGAAAAAAAGAACATGGGATTCTTGATCAATGGGAACCAAAATCCTATTGACCAACTTTCTCCTCTCTCAAAATCCATAAAAAAAAACACCCCCTAAAAGTTAATATAGAAATTTTCAAAAAAAAAAAAGGTTAGGATAAATTAGACCTACCATTATCATTCCACTGATTAAGTATATGGAATTTTCTCTTACGCCATCTATGACATACCTTGAACAAGTGGTTGGTCTTCAAATGTTGTGTCAAAGGATAATTTGATAATTTGACTTTACCATTAATCGAATCTAAGTGAAAAAAAAAATATCTAAAAGCACAAGTACAAGAGGGGACACTGTTGAGATACAAAGTTCAGGGAGGGCGCACTAAAGGTCACTGTGTATAGTATGCAACTGCTTTACTTAATCAACCTTTCATTAGGAATCGTTTGTATTTTCATTAAAAATGACCACGTAAGCTCCTAAAACAAGTGGAGAAAAGCGAAGGCACAAGCAAACATGGGTTACAATATTCTCTATTCCAAAGTACACCTAGTGGCTCTCCAAACAGTTCCCATGACAAAAGATTGATTAAAGTACAACAGTTACAAACTATAGGGATTTTATTTATATGCAAATTATAAGGTAGCTAGGTTTTAGCAACCATGTGAATTATAAGAGGTGTCCAAATAAATGACCGTAAGAAAGTATCTAGAGAAATAAACCCTAAAATAAACAAAAGATAACGAGACCCTCCACGTTTGGGGGTACGTGGAATTCTGCTTTAGTGGTCTAGAATATTATAAAGTCATCAACTCATTAATTTTTGGGGACACCCGTGATCATCATTTGAGTACTACTACATGTATTAAAATACAAAAGCACCCTATCACTAAACAGTAGAGTTCTTGTCTTTTCACCGGAGAAAGTACCTCATTTATCTCAAAATGGGATGTGCCCAAATCATTTTTCTTTGTTATCTACCAAAGACTACATTATATTTCTTATATACAAAGGAAAAAGATATCATTTGTTTTTGTTTATTATTTTATTTTGTTAGGTAAACGTCATGTAGTTGAGAATTCAGTTAGTTGGAATCTATTTATTTAATTATTTTTTTTATAAAATAAGGTTTGTTGGAATTTATACATGTACATATGTTACCATTTGGACCATTTCATGTCGACAATATATACTTATATATATATATATATCTTCATATCTGCTTTCTTTTGATAGCATCTCATTCAAATTATTTTTCCACTTCAGCCCCTGTTCTCTCTTAGCCGTAGCCGAGAGAATGTCAACCTCTTGAAGTCAAGTTCTCATTATGTAAAGCACATTCTTCGCAGCATAATTCACTGTTAGCTAGGGTTAGTGATAGAGAGGCGAGAGATTTATTTATTTATTTATTTTGTGCAGCAATTTGAATGCTCTCCCAAGATGATAACTCGCCTACTGAGTTATTGGGCCAAAGCCCAGAGATGAGGTCCCAAACGCTCCCGGTGGTTTTAATTGATTGCTTCCCAACTAAGAAAATATCAACCATTGCCTAGTGGATAGAGTTGCAGAATTTTCAATACTGAAATCATCTCTTTCATCATTATACGAAAATAAAGTGTTGTTCATTTCTTCGATCAATTTTTGGCTGTTTTCAGAAAGTCATAAAGCTTTTTTTCTTTTCCTTTTTCTTTTTTTATTTATATTCCGAGCCAAGTGCTTTGTAGGGTTGGAAATTCAATATCTTAGTTGTAATTTCAGGTACTTTTTTTTTTGTATTTTTTTGACAGATTTCCTTGCAAATTGAAAGATGATGGAGACATTACCTCTAGCACGAGTGAAAATTTGTTGTGAGTGAGTGAGTGAGAATTTGTCTTTAGAGACCAGTGGAGAATCTCCAACCCCATATAATTTGTATATTCAAGTTGTTTGCGATGTTATCTTCAATAAATAGAGATATACCGAACATCGATTCAATAATTAGGAGTATATTCCATCACTAGATCTCCAATAGGAATGCACCTTGGCGCATGTAAGTGCAGACGTCTTCATGAATACAATGTGTGGTCTATATTTACACCTTTCTATAACCATTATCTCAAATTTTATCTATTGTCATCAATTCATGATTGTTGCGTTTTTATGGACTTTTGTGTGTGTATGTGTATGTGTGTTTTGAACAAGTCGTTTTCAACAAAATCTATTGATTGAGGAAATTTTGAAGCATGAAGAGAATAAGATAAATTCCTTATTTTTTCTTTTCCTTTTTGGGCTTGTGTGTTTGTGTGAATTACGACTTAATTTCTTGCCATTTTTCTACGACGTGGAGATATAATGGGGGAAAACTCTCAAACAATTTGAGCTTCTTGGGAGGAGGAAATAATGGTTAATTAGAAAAAAAAAAGAAAATATCAACTTTCCTTTTTGTTCTACTTTCTGATCTCATATTGGCTTCAAACTAGCAATCATGCATGTTTGAATTGAATGTAGCGAGTTTCCAACACTAACAGCCATTTTTGTTGGGCTAGCTACTTCAGCTGCCGACATGTACAGAAACTACTGGGTGTATACGCCTTCAAGTGACAAGAAATGCAGAGAAATTCTTGGTATCTCACTCTCACATTTGAAAGTTTGAAATTCTTTGGAAACCCATTCACTCTCACAATTGAAAGTTGAAATCAATTAGTTGTTTGTCAAATTCTCTATTAAGACTCAGTTTGAAAAGAGTACAAATACAAATATATACATAGAAAATAATACAAATTATAAGGTTTTGCACTTGCTCCTTCCAAATATAAGCTTATAGATTTAAAAATATAAGGCTCAGTTTGGAAGGAGTACAAATACAAATATGTGTAGAGTGAAAAACTATGTATTTTGTATGTATGTGTATTGTACATATTTATATTTATACTCCTTCCAATTTGAGCCTAAAATACATATTTGTATTTCCACCCCTTCCAAACTGGTTTCAGGTTGGTTCAGGTTTCTGAAGGCATCCATCAGCCTTTTATTTTTCTTTTAAATACAAATATGAGCCAATCTGGTGGTGAGTACTACTTCTGTAAAACATCAAAAGGTTTCCCCTTTGTATTTGGTTTGACACTTTTCAACCCTAATCATTTTCAGTCTTTATATTTCTACATACTAGCTAAAGATCACCCTTAGCAATTAACACGGAGCAAACCACACCCATTATTTTGTTTGGAATCCTACCACTCAAATGATTTTGATTTCCTACCTAATTAGGAGATTAAATCAGGTTTAATTTATAATTAATGATTATCACTTTATTTGAAAGAATGAAACCCATCAATTTTGAAAGGATACTTACTTCTTGAAAGAAGAACCAAATATACATGTCTGAATGAGAAGTCTCTAGTTTGAGGGTTTTAAT